AAGTGTAGAGATCTGTATAACAAACATTTCTGTAAAGTTCATATTGGCGATATGCTGAGGAACAGAAACGGAAGTGACCCAGTTTGTATTGGATCACGCAGTCAGATGTGAAAAACAGCTCTCCACTGCCTCACCCGGGATTTCTGCCCTGTATTTGATGTATTTGACGAAATACTCCAATTCGGCGATTTTTACTTAATAAAATTTCGGATGACGGAAATGACGGAAGGGGAGGCAGCCCCTGACCGCACGTCACTGCTGTACTACTACTGGGCGGAGCTCTGGTTAATGCTTCCCATCAACGTCAATTCAGTACGCTAAGATGGCGCGCTATGCTAACTATAAACAACTTACTATCAACCTAACAGTAGAACATCAAATACGGCTCATAGCAAACAAACGTTTACTTAAACATTTTCCTCCTTGACGATCAAGACAACAGGTGTTTGTTTGTTTTTTCTAATTCCCCCATTTTGGGACGAATATGACTTCAATCTGGTTGACAGCTTTATTCCGTTTGGCTAGGTAGGGTGGCCAAACGGATTCGAGATTTTTTTTTCAACTTTAGAGGCGGAGCATCTGACTTTACTGCCTCAAGCGGACAGGTCGAACGGTATTTTCATTCCGGGCCCATCGCTTAATGGTGAGGTGAGTAAAATGATACGCTAATGAAGTATGTTTAGCAGTATGTTGTGCTCTTTAATAGCCCAGGAACTCTAATGTTTTGCCCTCGCCATTGCTGCAATCGCTAAAAGGTTTGCGTTTTAGGCACAGTCCACACCTGCGTGGCGGTAACAAGTGGAGAAATGGCAAAGTCAGTAGCCATGTTCTACTGGCTGTGCCGTGTGGGACGTCAACATATTTGTAAAAGCACCCGTATGTAACTTCGCTGTCTTTATAACGTTCCCTCTCTGAAAGTTGTAGAGTACTCGCGCTTACAATTGTCGAATATTTTCAAGCTCAGTCACTCAGTGCAGTTACGTTCGGCGTCATTGAACCGTTAACCTCCAAAACGTCGAATTTTCTAGAAAAGAAAAGACAATACATTGTTACAATACGTACAGTATTGGTTTTGTCGTTCAAGGTTAGTTACTTTTAGTGAAGTCAATTTAATATTCATACCTGAAAATCAAAATGGCAGCTTTTGTCTTACGTGGACCACGTCAAAATGAAACTGACATTTTGAACATTTTAAATCAAACTTATGAGGGGGAGAAAATTAATAACCATGTCTTTCTCAACAAAACAAAAACCTTTCCACAAATTATATCATATATGCATACAATAACATGTATGCTCAACTATTGCTATTAGATAAAATGAATTATTATGTCACGTTTAGATAAATAGATAGACTTTATTGATCCCAAAGGGAAATGAAGGCATTCAGTAGCTTACACAAAAACAGTACAAATACAAAAAAAGAATAAAATCACCAACAGAAGGCTATGGAGTTTAAAACAGGGCGGTAATTACAAAATAAAACAGGGCAATAATTACAAATTAAGTACAAAAGAGAATTTTTTGCCAGTGCAACTCGTACAAAAAGATGCACAGGTAGAGTTGTAACCAGGGTTTGGGCGAGTGGTTGTGCAGTGGTGTTGATTGGTGTGGTGTGTGAGTGAAGGGTTGGGGGGGAGGGTTGCTGATGGGCCGTTTCCCCTCTCACCTTTAGTGAGGTGTTAAAGGTTTGAACGGCCTTGGAGACAAAGGACCTCCTCAGTCTGTCTGTAGAACATGACAGTGACAGAAGTCTGCCACTGAACATGCTCCTCTGTTTTGTGAAGGTGCTGTGTAGGGGGATGGTGGCTGTTGTTCATCTTGACTTAACAAGCTGCTGTAGCTTGTTAAGTGTCATTTACAACTCTCTACAACTGATGTCAGGGTAGAGCCAGCCTTCCTCTCCGAGGACCACTTTCGTTGTGTGCACTGGTCTGGTTCTGTGTCAGGATGACAAATAGTTCACTTACACGTGTCGCAGTCCATCACACTGTGGATAATGTACCCCACAGATGGACAAGGTTGAAACAGAGAAGACCTTCCCTCTCAGTAAATCAGACAATCCGGAGGACCAGGTCAAACCCATGGACTGGGCCAACGAGGGCTTCCTGCCCATAGGAGAGACCAGACTCAAACCTACACAAACTGGTGAGCACCAGACAAGACCAACTACTCTTTGTGTGCTTTCCTCATATTAAACCATGATCATAATTTTCTAGAGCAAGGATCAAACATATAATGACAAAAATGATTTTGTGTGTATTTCTGCATACGGTAATCCTTTAGCCCACAGTGTCTTGCGTAATTCACTGCCTGAGGACTTCTCCACTGCAGAGCTACAAGCAGTGAGCCTCTGTAAAAACAAGGCGGCCTCTGAAGAGCCCTACAGCAGAGGTACAGTTCAACAGTCGGAGTAATCACATTTAGATTCCTGAATGTTGGGCTTTTCCATGAGGGGTTCATAGATCTGTACAATGTATGATGGTTTTGTCACTTGTACATTCTGGTGTCATTTTCATAAATGTTGACAATTTCTTTCTTTATCTTAGAACAAATGGTGAAGGAGGTTTTGAAGAGCAATTGTAATATAGAAGGTAAGAAGAGAACTATTTCAATTGTGACTTACTCTGTCAATGTATTTATTCTTTTTTTTTTTTTTTTTACAATTTCTTCTGTCATCTTTGTGTCATGGTGTATTTCTGCAGATTTCTGTCTTTCCTGTGGCAAGAGGGAAGCTGCAACTTTCCACCCACTGTTTGAAGGAGGTTTATGCCAAACATGCAAGGTAATAAAATCATCTATTTATCCAGAAGTAAAATATAATATTATTTATAATAATACCAACAGCAATAATAATCCTAGTAAATACTGACATTTAGGACGTTTACTTGGAGATGTCTTACATTTACGATGAGGACGGCTCACAGTCCTACTGTGCTATCTGCTGTGGTGGTCGCGAAGTTCTGCTCTGTGCCAACGCCAACTGCTACAGGTCTCAAATACTCTGGCAAACTCCATGCATGATGCAATAACCACCAGTGTTTTCACGTGTGCATCTGTTCACGTTGTCTTCCTGTTCTCTTCTCCTGGTCCAGGTGTTTTTGCGTGGACTGCCTTGACATCCTGGTCAATCCTGGAACCCCAAACAGTGTTGGATTTGAGGACCCTTGGAGTTGCTACATGTGCCAGCCACTGCTGCAACATGGTGTCCTTAAGTGTCGCCGTGATTGGAACCTCAAGCTGCAGGAGCTCTTCACTAATGACAATGTGCAGGAGTTTGTAAGTCAAATAATTTTTCTTTGTTCGTCAATGCGTGACAGGCAGAGCAATTAAATGCTCTTTCACTAGGTGGCAGCAGATGGTTATTAAAACTAAGAAAAGATAATCAGAAAAAAATATAGAAAAATATCTTTGTCAGTGTCTTTCTTTCATTCCTGCCAGTATATGAGTGTTGTCTTCAACTAAACAGGAGTACATTTTTTGTAAATTCAAACTAGAATATTATTATATTTCATTACACTGTCCTAGAAGATCTAACAGTTTAGATTGCAGTGCTTGGGTGAAAGGTAGATTATAATTCCATGGTGTGGTGCCCTGCGCTAAATTTTGCCGATAAACCGATAAGAGTTATAACAGTTCTGTGACCCTAATAATTCCATAGTATGTAAATAACCATACACCAACCATTTGAAACTTGATTTATTACCATTTTCTTTGAAGGAGAAACCAAAAATGTACCCACCACTCCCTACAGAGCAGAGAAGACCTATCCGAGTTCTTTCCCTGTTTGATGGCATTGCCACAGGTGAGAATGAATGCTTACGGATTTACGCAATTTATGCATTAAAATATGAAGTGGAGTAGAGGATCACAGTTCTTTGTGCCCAGGCTACCTGGTCCTTATGGCTTACGGATTTACGCATTTTATGCATTTAAAAAAATGAAGTGGAGTAGAGGATCACAGTACTTGTCTTTGTGCCCAGGCTACCTGGTCCTTAAGGATCTGGGATTTAAGGTGGATCTGTATGTGGCGTCCGAGATTTGTGAGGACTCCATCTCACTGGGTTACGTGAGGCATGAAGGAAAGATCCAATACGCCCGTGATATCAGGAGTATTACAAGCAGAAATGTAGGAATGATAATTTTGATTCAAAAATTCTTCAAAAAGACTCAGACTCAGTTTAACACTAGATGGTGACAATGTGCTTCTTAGATTCAAGAGTGGGGCCCATTTGACTTGGTGATCGGAGGAAGTCCGTATGATGATCTCTCCACAGTCAATCCTGCAGGGAAAGGCTTGTATGGTAGGTTCCTGACAGAGACATTGGTACTAAAGACTGGCTTAGAATTCTATTTGAATTGTTTACTCTAGGCTTTAAGTACTGCATTTTAAGAGCCTATTTGATCGTTGACTGAGTCTGATCATTCTAGAGGGAACAGGGAGGCTTTTCTTCGAGTTCTACCGACTGCTGAGCGAGGCCATGCCCAAAGAAGGAGAGGAGCGGCCATTCTTCTGGATGTTTGAGAACGTGGTCACCATGCCTGTCGAAGTCAAACGAGACATCTCACGATTTCTGGAGGTTGGTGATACAGGAATAATCAACAAGGGTTCGCTTTTGAACAAATTTAGAGCTGGCACATTTGCAATACTGCTGCTCCAAAGGCCTTTTCTGTTTTGGTGTTACACCCTACTGTTAGTAATTACACATTTTTTGTTGCAGTGTAATCCTGTCATGATTGATGCTGTTGAGGTTTCCGCTGCCCATCGCGCTCGCTATTTCTGGGGAAACCTCCCAGACATGAACAGGTTAGTCATTTCATAAATTCAATTTGCACCTGCATTGCCATCTCTACCAAAGTTGCGTTGTGTTTAGAAGTAAACAACAATGCATTGTCATCTTTGCGTTGTGTTTAGAAGTAAACAACAACAGATGTAAATGTTTTCCAGGCCTCTCTGTGCCTCTAGTACGGACAAGCTGGAGCTGCAGGACTGTCTTCATTCTGGCCGAGTTGCTAAGGCAGATAACCTACGATACAAAAAAAAAAAAACTAACCTAAAATACACATTTGAATTTGATTACATTTTCTAACTAGTACTTGATGTCGCATAGTATGGAAAACTGAGGACTGAAGACCAGCATTGCCCTGTGCTGATGAACGGCAAGGAGGACATACTGTGGTGCACAGAGCTGGAGAGGTAATACATAATACACATAGTGGAATAATCACTAGACAAATGCTTCATTTGCTGAAAAAAATAGTTACATTAAACAGAAACATCCTTTGGCTCTTCAAAATTGAAATCAGGTTTTTGATGTTGCATCTCTCGTCCTGCAGGATCCTTGGGTTTCCAGTGCACTACACGGACGTTGCTGACATGGAGCCGGCAGTAAGAATGAAGCTCCTGGGTCGTTCCTGGAGTGTGCCAGTCATCAGGCATCTCTTTGCCCCACTCAGAGACTACTTTGATTGTGAATAGAGATCTGCGTATGACCAGGGAACGCCCACTGTAACATAATTTAAGTTTAAGCTGGCAACAAATGTTGACCTACCGCCTTGAAAATGTAAGTATTTCTCATATTTATGTTCATTTGGTTAAATTTATAGACAAGTTGTCTCAACGTTGTTTGTTTGTTTGTTTTCTGAAAGTTTGTTTGTTCTGAATGTTCACTTATCTTGCAACAAAAGTACCTTGGTTATAGTTGAACAATCGCACAATTCTAGAGTACTATTTTGGTTTAAAAAAAAACTTTATTAATAAAACTCATTCAGTCTCTTCCAATATAGTTTTGAAACTTCTATAATTGTGGTTTTAGATGTTTCATTAAATATGGTATAGAAAAGGTTTGTATGATGAACAGTCATATGGGAAGTCATCACTTTTTACATGACTGTTTATCAGAGTTTTATCAAATGTTTATTAATTTATTCAAAAGTGCTTAAAATATCTTAAGCTTTTTTTGTAATAATAAGTAACAGACACTTTGTAAAATAGATTGTGCTCAGTAAATTACATGAAAAATACTTTGTTTCTACACAGCTAATTAAATGTTTGTTTTTTTAGAAAAGCAATTCAATTAAAGACTAAAATGACAAATGATTTAATTTATAAGACATCATAGTTAAATAATAGTTTGTGTAATATGCTGCCCTTGTTCCTGCTAACACTCGCACCACCAATGCTGTTGCGAAATTGTTGGCATATTGACCACAGTCCACCTAACTGTGGCCATAACAAGTGGAGAAAAATCCACTTATTGTATGTGCCATAGATGCAGCAGCAGGACAATAGAAGGCAGGGCAAGGTTCCCAACAATGGCTGAGAAGATGAACAGTTTAGTTAAGTTAGAGATACACGTGTCAAAAAAAATGATAGCATGATTCTTTATCTCTGGGTTAGTCGCTTTTAGTGACCTGTACAGTCTTTTGCCAGGGTGGAAGACATTTAAATCTACAGGTATGGTCTTCTTATGTTTAAATGTTGTATTAATTGTGCTTGGTATGTTTCAGATTTGTTCAGTTGAAAATGTAAATGTTAAAATGTGAATTTTCCCCGCTTACCGCCAGAGAGCACTTGCGTACCACTTGTGGTCCGTGTACCACAGTTTGAGAACCACTGAATCATATAATTTGGAAAAGTTTGGTGGGGCGGATTAAGAAACTGAACGGGCCGCATGCAACCCACGGGCCTTAATTTGCCCGTGCCTGTGCAAGAGCCTCACGAGGATGACACGTCTCAGACCTTGCCAAAGACGTTGAAGTAAAGGCATTGGGCCCAAAGATGAAGTCAGCAGAGAGTTGTATTCAAGAAGATTGCTGTGCTTATATTATCTGCTCCTGCTCTCTGATCTGTGTCTCAGTAATGGTGTCGTTAAGGCTTTTAGACTAATTAGGGATTGATTGGAGACAGCTTCTGACTCCATTTTCTCTGTGACGGCCTATCAGCGTGCAGCTCCACCACCAACGTGGAGTCAGTATCAATGCTGGCTCTTATAGCTCTGCTCTCCAGCTGTTTCGTCGCAACGTGAGTGAAATGAGTAAAACCTGGTACAATTTCGCAGAGAAATACTCATGAAGACACATACTATAGGGCTGTATGTATTCCTTCCGTATTCCTTTTACAGAAACGTTGCCCTCTCGTAGTTCATTCATTTTTGTTTATCACAGACCAAACATTGACAGGAGAAAATAGTGGGTACAGCGTTATTAACAGTAATGTAAAACACATGTTGCCTACCCCAACTTTAAAATTGATGTATATTGAGTAATCGTCACATTTCTGGTCTAAATATGTTGGCTACACATTTATGAGATGGCTAATTCATATTACAGAGAAAATCACATAGTGTTGGTAGTAAAGCCTGAAATACAGCACTGTAGTTTACCACCAACAGTCAACTGTAGGGGAGTATCACGTGTCCTGTTTCAGTACTGAAATGTGACTCTGTGTCCTGAATGCTCTGGTGCTCGGGTTTGTCCTGCCCTCATTTGTTTAACCACATTTTAAATAACTGACACAAAAGCATGTTGACAAAGAGTCTATGAGCACTAACATATTTATAAAAACAAAAAAAAGACAAGAGGAGCTAATGTCACCATGTCAATGTGATTTTTAAAAACTGGAGTTTAAGGAGTATCACGATGGAAGTTACCCATTTAGCTATTCATCTTCTTATCTGCTTAATGGTTTTTAGATTTTTTTGTTTACAATTATTAATTTCTTGTTGATTTATTATTAACTTATGCAATCACAGTGCCTTGATTTTATTGAGGTTTAGTTTACAGTCAAAGTCAGAAATACAATGGTACTAATAATTGGTATGAAAATATTTTTTGGTGTTTCAGTTTTTGGCCTTGGTTTCCTCACTTTCGAGTTTCGGCCAAGAATTTTAATAATTCGTTCCATAGCTATTATTGGATGTTTTTTTTGGAATCCAGTCACAGGCTGGATTGGACAGTCCTGTGGACCAAATTCGGCACGTTGGCTGCCAGTTGATGATCACTGTGTTACATTAATTGAAAAGGCAAAATTGGGTTGTGAATGTTGTTTGGTATTTGGGCCCTGTGATGGACTGTAGTTCCATGGTGTAGTGGATATCGCGTCTGCTTTACACGCAGAAGGTCCTGGGTTTGTGCCACAGTATAATCATATACTTAATTGTCCTCATGTAAGTCGTTCTGGATAAAAGATCTACTAAATACACACTAGGACTAATGACCTGTCTAGGATGTACTTCACTTCTACCTGATAACAACATGGATTAAACAGCAAAAAAATGAGTGAACTTGGCAAGATGAGACTATTGCAAAAAAAGACCCATTTTCCTCCTGTTATTCAGACTAAAATGTGCTAACTCCCTCTAGTGGCCGAAAAATATATTTTGGACTTTTGCAATTTGCTTATATGCTTCTTAAATTTACAGTTGATTAAAATACTGTAGTCCAACAACAATAAAAAAAAAATTCAACAGAACAACAAATTATTTACCTCTTACAACAGGGGCCTCAAATTCTCAACCTGGGGCCACTTCTGGTTCACAGATCCCAGGTCTGACCCTTAACTAATTTACCTTGGGCTAATTTTTTTAAATCTTGTTTTTTTCAGTTGCTTTACTTGGTCATTTAAGACTGAGAAGCGTGTTTGTGCTAGCTATGTGCGCTGTAGTATTATATACAGTAGTAGTGGTCCTCCAATGAAATGACGGTGAAAGCGGTTGCCCTCAGCTCAGCTGCGCAGTTCTTCCGCCTTCTTGTAAAAATGATGGACTGAGAGTACCGCAAAAACAGCTTTACTTTATTCAGTTACAAGTATCCCGTGGTCAAAGACAGCCACATACAAAATAATGATTCATTACAATTACACTGTAAATCAACAGTACCACACATGAGGTCATTAAGGCAACAGATCCATAGATAAAACAGGGTTACACTGGAATGTCCACAAGCTAACAGGTCGGTTCTAATCCGAGACAAAAACATCAGGGTGAACAGTTGGGGGGAAAAAATTGCAAAAATGTGTGTAGCTTGAAAAAAATGTCAGTAAAATATATATTTTAATATAGGTTTTACTGACATTTCTTGTCAGTAAAACCTATATATATGTCCTGAGCCAGTGTTTGTTTTAGAATTTCTTTATCTGCGAGGAATCTTTTTTCTTCTCTTTCTGGGTGGATGGAAATATAATGACATTAACAGTTAAAAGTGGAAATATGTTTACAGTTAATTTGAACTTCATGTATAGAGGGAAAAAGCAGCTTTTAAACTAAGGTAGAAAACCGTCTTTGTTTATTTCAATAATGTTTGATGTAAACATATATTTTTTTATGTTAAAACAGACACAAATGTACTTGAAGGTTACACTTCTCTGAATTTTTAAACATTTTTGACAAAAGTGAAGCGAGTGAAGAGAGAAACAGCTCTTTTAGTAAATATTCATGACTTTAAATCCAACTATTCATAATCATATCCAAATACACACACGTGCAGAACGTTCACCTCACCTCTCCTGTCAAATAAGACTTGTAGCAGCATCTTCCTCACACAAGAGAAAGTCACATTTGACGTCTGCACACAGCTCTCTGTAAATTACTTGTTGCATCAAACACTGACACGGGCTGCGAGATTTCAGGTTCCAGATGTCTTGTTTGTCGACTGTACAACACACACGTCTCTGTGCCTCTTAGTTTTCCGACATCTTGCGGATCATGTAGTTGAGAATTCCTCCGTGGCGGAAGTACTCCAGCTCCACATCCGTGTCGTACCTCATTCGCACCTGGAATGTTTTCCCTGCGTCGAGCTGTGCGGAAGAAGAAGAAGAAGAAACGGAGAAGTCTCATGTTAGCGATAAGTGACCTGCCCCTCTGTCCCTGACGTTCTGACGAACTCTCTCTGGACTGACCTGAATATCGATGATCATCCTGGGAGTGAGCTGCTCAGGGATGATGACGGTGAAGCGCTCTTTGCCGCTCAGTCCTAGACTGTCAGCTGTGTCTCCTGTTAGATATTCCAGAGGAATCACTCCCATTCCCACCAGGTTACTGCGGTGGATGCGCTCATAGCTCTCTGCTAGGACAGCTTTAATGCCCTAAGAGGACAAGGATGAGACCAGAGTGTAACAGACGTCTATCACTAAATGAGTCAGGGATTATGAAAACTATTTGTTGATAAGACAGGTACAGGCAGAACAATTAAAACCATTTGCCTCTAGGTGGCAGCAGACAGCTACAAAAGAACTAAAAAAAAGGAGGATCAGTTGTTAATGCAGTGGTTCTCAGTTATTTTCTCTCATGCCCCCCCCCCCTTGGGGACAGATATGTTTTCATGCCCTCCCCCGAACCCCTGACCCACACCCCCACGAATTGAAATACTATTGAGAACCTGAAAACATGTACATTTGTATCTGTACAAACCACTGTATGAGTTGCTGCCACCTAGTGACTGCAGGCTTGTTATCACCCAAGCATCTATCTATACTTAATTATTCATACTTTTTAAATGTTGTGTGGTCTGAAATCACTCTAATAAATGCTGCTCACCAACAGGAAGGGTCCTTTGGCAGCCCAGTCTCTGGAGCTGCCTGAGCCGGACTCCTTAACTACACACCATATAAAAAAAAAAGTTTCCATGCTGGCTAGAAATCCATTTCAACTGTATAAAACCAATGTTCACAGACGAGAACAGAGAAATGACGTATTCTAACCACGTCTCCTGTTGGCAGATGAATTGTTTGCGGCGCCTGCTTATTGAGGAACTTGTTAAAGAGTCTGATGTTTGCAAACGTTCCTCTGGCCATCACGGCGTCGTTCCCTCTGCGCGATCCGTAGGAGTTGAAATCCCGAGCAGCCAAACTGATCAGAACACGAAGAAACACACAAAAAAAGTCAAACAACGTTATTCATAATCTGGGTGAACTAGCATTCATTCAATCGAATCAAAGACATTCAAAATCATAACTTTATTTTTATGTGTTATCAAAGCGTAGTCCTTCAGCAGTTGTCATTCTCTCACTTATATTCTCACCAACTTGAACTAGCATTCATTCATTCGAATCAAAGACATTCAAAATCATCACTTTATTTTTATGTGTTATCAAAGCGTAGTCCTTTAGCAGTTGTCATTCTCTCACTTATATTCTCACCAACTTTCAAACCTCTGACACTGTTCTCAGTCTGTTCACTCACCCTCTTTTGGTCAGGTAGCGCGCTGCAGAGCTTGTTCTGGCGATGTTCCCTGCTGGAGAAATGTGGTCAGTGGTGACCGAGTCTCCCAGATTCAGCAGAACATAGGCGTTGATTATGGACTTGGGAGGCTGTAAGTCCATGGTCTGAAACAAGAAAGTCATGAGACAAAAAGCTTTGTTAATATCAGCACTAGAACTTGCGTTTGTTTGTCCATGTCGTTAAATTATATTTATATATCTTACATAAAATAAAACAACCTTTCCCGAATTTTTATGATTTACATAGTGTTGTTTATATTTAAAGGGGCATTTAAGGGTTTTAATTATAATGTGAATGGTTGAGGTGCCGTTTCTATGGCACGTTTCTATTCTAAGTGTGGAGGTCATCAGAGGGAGTATTTACCAAACCATCAAAGAACGGAGGAGACTTGATGTAGGTTGACCGAGGGTCCCAGGAATAGAGCTTGTCAGAAGGGGCCACTAGAGAGTTCCAGCGTTCATTCACTTTCTGCAATGACACAATAATCCACAGATAAAAATGCCTTTTTTTTTTGTTTTCAGTGGCACATTTGGCGTCTTCAGAAGGACTAAACCCTACCTCAATCTTCTCGTAGACTTCTTTAAACATTGATGGGATAACAAATGTTCTTTCTATGGCCTGGATCTCCTCTCGTGTGGGCCAGATGTCACTCAGGAAAATCTCCTTGCCTTCAGAATTGGTGCCTGCAGGTATGGAATTAATGCTTTAAACCAGTGGTTCCAAACCTCTTTTGAGCATGACAGATATTTTACATTAGTCAACTCCCACAGCACACCACCAAACAAAAATGTATATTTAAAAAAAAATATTTCAATTATTTCAATTTACTCACAATTTACTTAGGCAGTATTACACCTAGGCCTGTTTAGTTGAACACAATGGTAATGTAATTATAGGAATTGAAGAAAGAAACATCCAAATATCTGACAGCTCTGAGCCTCTGCCTTTTGCTAGTAGTTTATAGCGCTGCCACCTAAAGGAAAAGTAACTAATGTGCTCAGCTGTGCACCTCCACCACAAGGGGACACTGGCGTAACAGTCGACAGCCTTGTGTGTAAAACTGTGTAAATATGATATATGAAGTAATTAGTTTACATGTTCAGTTTCAAACGCAAAATTGTGTTTGTACCATATGCTGTTTATGTTTCTGTGTAAAAATGCATCAACTTTTTTGATACTGGCGCTAAATAATTGCCATCTCACAGTGCACCCTTATTGTGCCGTTTGTGTTACATTGAAATATGGCACAGCCTCACCTAGAAGATTTTTTACCACCCACCCCTGGAATGGTTGTAAGTATTTTTAAAATCATACCAACGGGCTCCTTCTCGAATTTCTGCCTTTTGCTAGTAGTTTATTAAGTATTTTTAAATCATACCAACGGGCTCCTTCTCGAAGTCTATCCTCACAGTTCCTGCAATGGCATAAGCAATGACAAGCAGTGGAGACGCCAGGTAGTTAGCTCTGGTGTTGGGGTGAACTCGCCCTTCAAAGTTTCTGTTTCCTGACAGAATGCCTGCAGCGACTAGATCTCCCTGAAACACAAAGTCAAACAGGAAATGTGTGCATATTAATGGGTTATTATTACCTTTTAAAAGTTTGTAATACAACAGATAATTGAGGAAATTTGAAAAAGTACCTGCGTTATGGCCTCCACCACCGAATCAGGGAGTGGACCACTGTTGCCTATACACGTCATACAGCCATAGCCCACAACCTCAAAACTGTCAGGAAAAACATTACATATGGAAATTAAATTAAAAAAAATAGTGCATTTTTTAGCTATGGCACAAATAAGGAAAATGTAATAAAATTAATAATTAATATGTCTGCTCCCCTTTGCAGCAACAACTCCGTGCACCTAGGAATGGCCTGCCTCCCCACTTTAGAAACCACTAGTCTATACTGTAGCAGCAACAAAAGACCAAAAACAACAAACATAATGAGGCTTGTTAAATGTAATTAAGCTAATTTTCTATATAATCATTGGCCACATTTTCTAATTGACAGGTATGTTATATTTTCATTAGCTACATTGTCATTAAACTACATTACATTTTTATTAATTGGTCAAAATTACAATAAGACATGGAGACGTCGGAGCAGCATACCCCAGCTGTGACAGGTAGTCCATAACACCACTCTCTTTCAGGTAGTATGTGACCACTCCGCTGCCCGGTGACAGGCTGGTCTTAATGTAAGGCTTAACACTTAAGCCACACTCTATAGCCTTTTTAGCAAGGAGTCCTGAAAAAAAAAACATTAATATTTGTTAATTACTGGTAAAAGGTAAAAAGTGAATGGTAAAACAAAGAAACCTTAATCCTTAGAAATGTACTCACCAGCTCCCAGCATGACAGATGGGTTGCTGGTGTTGGTGCAGCTGGTGATGGCAGCGATGACCACCGAGCCGTGGCTCAGGTTGTACTCATTTCCATTGAACTGGAATGGGACAACGGTGCTGTGGCGCTCAGCTGGCAGCTGGAAACCCTTGAAGCCTTGCTGAAGATGTGGCAGGAGAAAGACTTGATTAATTCTTGTTAAGAATACATTGAAATTAGAATTTTCAATAGTATCTACCTTTGCTCCCAAACATGTTTCAAAGTCAATCTTCATGTCAGAAACAGGAATTCTGTCCTGAGGTCTTTTAGGGCCACTGCAACAGGGTACCACTGTGTTGAGATCCAACTCCACAACCTGACAAATATAGTAAAAAAAAAAAATCAACATGTACAAATAGGGATTTGTGTTAGAACTATCCACTTTGATTCTCCCCCATTATTGCCTTGACAAACGTCTGTATTAATGTATTCATACAAAAACTTGTTTTTGTGTAAGAAGCTAATGTATAACATTGAGGAATTTTGCCATGTCAAATAAATTAGAACCAAATCTTAGCACATGAAAAGGATGTCAAGACTGACCTTAGTAAAATCTGGATCCTGACAGACGTCATTGTAGTCTCTAAACATGGACACTGCCTTAAGGTACTTTGTGATGTAGTTCAGCTTTTCTGCTTCTCGCCCTGAATTTAGACAAACCAGAAGTCAGACAAAATACCATGTGGTTAAATGTGACAAGAATCCACGCAGTTAAAAAAAACTGCACAGAACTGTTGATGAGTGTACACATACCTGTCTGGGCCAGGTACTGAACACTGATGTCGTCCACAGGGAAGAACGCTGCAGTGGCGCCGTACTCTGGACACATGTTGGCGATGGTTGCTCTGTCAGCGATGGAGAGCTGGGCAACACCTGGACCGAAAAACTCCACGAACTTCCCCACTACACCCACCTGACGCAGGTGCTGCCAAAACAGGTGGGAAAATGATTATTATTATTATGAATCGGAATGGAATAGGAATAGGAATGTCACCAGTCAATAGTGTTTTCCAACTTTTCCTGAGCCACGGCACATATTGTACATTGGAAAAAGTTGCAAGGTGCACAACTAAATTAAGGCATCACATAAAGTACATGTAATGAAATATAAAGATCTTCTAGTTTAAATTTACTCACAATTGATTTACTCAGTGTGGGCCTGTTTAGCTGAACACCACACTGATATACTTGCAGGAATTGAAAAAACACATATGGAGATCTACTTTTTTTTAAGCCATCGTATTAGCCATTTTTGCAGCACGTCACTGCTGCATAGACAAATACAATGTAATAATTACAATTTTTGACTAATTTAGCAAAATGTGATAATTCCCGACAATATGCCTGATACCTCAAGGCACACTTACAGTATGTGCCGTGGCACAGTGGTTGGGGGGGGGGGGGAATAATTTGATAATATACCTTAGTAACAGTAAGAACGATGTCAGTGGACGTTATGAGTTTATTTGGGGTTCCATGCAGCTTGTATCCCACTACCTCAGGTAGTACCATGCTTATTGGTTGGCCCAGCATCACTGCCTCCGCCTCAATACCACCCACACCTGAGGACATAGAAAAACAGTCATGTTTTATGACATCTGTCTATTAGAGGTGCACTGATTGCAATGTTTGGGCCGATTCTGCATCTGTCTGATACGTCGCGTGGATTGAAATGATATTATAGCAAAATCTATTTGCTCTCTTTTAAGTGCAATGTCACAACATACTGAAAGATCCTATACATGTATTCAACATTTGACAAACTATATTTAATTCCACTTAGTAAGTCGATCCAAAACCATGAAGTTGATAAGATAACAGTAAACACAGTCACACGATGACCTGGTCGGTGGGCCTGTCAGTCAGCCCTCTCTCACTGTAGAGAATAGGGGGACAGTGGCCGACTTCCAGACTTTTGCAGAGGTAGATATGAGCGGTAGATTGATGACCTGGTCGATGGGCCTGTCAGTCAGCCCTCTCACTGTAGAAAATAAGGGGACAGTGGCCGACTTCCAGACCTTTGCAGAGGTAGATATGAGCGGTAGATACGATACGAAATCAGCTGATCGCCGATCCCGCAAAATTAAGGAAATCTTCACCAATCGATTGGTGATCGACAGCGGACAATAAAACAACCATATTGTAGAGTACTCACCCCAACCAAGGACCCCAAGGCCATCAATCATGGTGGTGTGGGAGTCTGTTCCCACCAGACTGTCTGGGTAGAAAAACCCTTCATGGCTAAACACCACCCGGGCAAGGTACTCCAGGTTCACTTGATGGACAATCCCTGATCCAGGAGGAATGATCCGCATGTTTCTAAAGGCTTTGGATCCCCACTGTAGACAAAAGCAAACAGCTGCAGAAATAACCAACAACCTGGCAGACTTAAAACCCATTTGGTATCTAGATGGTTAGGCATTTTCTTACCTTTAAAAATTGAAATCGTTCCATGTTACGGTCAAACTCCAAATCTTGGTTTTTCTGTAAGCTATCGGATCTTATGAAAAAAGGGAATTTTTGTTATTAATTTGATGAAAGATGAAGAGCACAGTGGTACCAAGAGTGTAAATAATAAATATGGCTATACTTCCTGTTGAAGTCCACCTGAATGGAATGGTCTATGACAAGATCAGCAGGGCAAACTGGATTAATCTTTTCTGGGTCACCACCCAGGGTTTTGACTGCGTCACGCATGGCAGCAAAGTCCACCACAGCAGGGACACCACTATTGCCAGATACAAAAAAAAAAAAATATTAAAAAAAATCTGGTACCTGGTACTCTAATTACTCATGTATTTCTACAATCAATATCAAAGCATTTAGATGAATATCTTATAGCATTTAGAATCAAATAAATATAAAATGGATCTGTGACCTACAGTAAAGAATTGAAATCAAATCGTGAGATCCTTAACAATGCCTAGCCCTACTTATTGATATACAAAAAGTGTTGACATACGTAAAGTCCTGGAGGATGACACGTGCTGGTCTGAATGGTACCTCCACATTTTGAGTCTGGGTCTGCTTCCAGTCAAGGATCCGTTCCACGTCTGAGGTCTTTACCAAAAACCCATCGCAGTTACGCACCGCGGACTCCAAGAGAACCCGGATGGAGAATGGCAAACGTTCTGAAAGAACAAACAAGTAGTGATCAAACCTAGAAAATAGATTTTAAAGCAGCAACAGATGTTTATATTTACCATATCTGCTATCTCCAAGTTTGGAAAGGTTGTAAAACTGCTGATTTGGGTTGTCAGGATTCAGTGGCTCAACGATGTGTTGATAAGGATTATTCTCAGTTGTAGACATTTCTCCTGAATCTCAGTATGGACCTAGGGGAAGAAAATAAAGGGAATGTAATGTTAAAGCAATGCGCAATAATTACATCTCAAGGGTGATAGGGTGACGTGCATATAATAAAACTTTCTGCAAAGTTAACTCTGCCAGCTGAACAGGAAGTATCACACAATGTTGGTTAGACAAGTCTCAGAAAGTTACTTGGTCAGGTCTAAATGACTCATCTACCTTAGCGATATTAGCATTGTCCATGCTAAGGTGCTTCTTTTTTATGTTGCTCTTGTCTCTATCCCTTATATTAAAATACCTCCAAACTTTTGATACTTGTATATAATGTTCTCCACTTAAACATATCCAGGTATCATTGGTCAAAAAAGGCGAATTAAAAAATTATGTTGGGCTTTTAAATTGAGCGCCAGTTTGAATTCCCCTCCCTTGTGGGTTTATAAACCGTGGTATTATCACTAGCTTGTTTATAATAATAGCTACATTTAATGTAGAGATTTAGGGGATTAATGGTGTACTGAAAAAATAAATATACATATATATATATATTTTTGACCATCTCTTTCTGACCCTGATGTAACACCCATGCCTTATTTTTATAAGATATGATAGCCAAGAGACTGTACTGATTAAAACTAAATTTGATTTTATGTAAAATAGGGGAAACCTGTTGGTCTGTGAATACTACTCATTATTTGGCCAAATTCTTCTGTTGGCATTTTAACCCCCAGTTTAACAATTGAAATATTTTCTATATCCATTGCTAGATCATCCTGTCAACAGAGAGATTGAATAGAGAGTTGGAGCTGAGGGTCAGCTAACTTTTGGCCAATGCTTTTTAGACATTGCATAACTATATTTCTGCAGGGGAAACATGCAGACACATGCTAAGAAAGTCAATATTGGTAGGAAAAAAAACTGTATGCAGATTTTCCCTAAAATCAGGTTTTTCAGGAAGTGAATTTCTGGAGAGCACGATGTGTGTGTGTTACATGTGTCGGATAAGAAGCCTGTGTCTGGGGGGGCGACATACACAGGTATTGTTATGTTGCAAAGTTCAAAGTCGAAATTACTGCAATAACTGTGATATAACACAGCTAGAGTAGTGCCAGGTTAGGACTGTAACAGTGAACAGATACCATTTTATTTTGGATTGGAATGCTTCCTGTTACAAATAGGCCAAATCATTCCTTAAGAGATACAGTACTTTCTGTTATTAAAATAACATTAGCCAGGATTTGCAGCTAGCTACAAAGCTATTACTTTCTCTAAAACTACTTTTTTAAAGCTTGGGTAAGAAATTAGTGTTCATTGGAGTTTTGGGGGCAGCGGGGGTCTTGATAGTAGTCCGCTTTACAAAAGTGCCTCATATTTAGTACTAGTATTATTATGCTGATTCTTAATTTTCAGATGTTATATTGCTCAAAAATACTATTGGTTATACCGTGTCTTTTCAAATGAGCATGAAACTAAGATATCATGCTATCAAATAAATATCAAATGGATCTGTGACCTACAGTAAAGAATTGAAATCAAATCGTGAGATCCTTAACAATACCTAGCCCTACTTATTGATATACAAAAAGTGTTGACATACGTAAAGTCCTGGAGGATGACACGTGCTGGTCTGAATGGTACCTCCACATTTTGAGTCTGGGTCTGCTTCCAGTCAAGGATCCGTTCCACGTCTGAGGTCTTTACCAAAAACCCATCGCAGTTACGCACCGCGGACTCCAAGAGAACCCGGATGGAGAATGGCAAACGTTCTGAAAGAACAAACAAGTAGTGATCAAACCTAGAAAATAGATTTTAAAGCAGCAACAGATGTTTATATTTACCATATCTGCTATCTCCAAGTTTGGAAAGGTTGTAAAACTGCTGATTTGGGTTGTCAGGATTCAGTGGCTCAACGATGTGTTGATAAGGATTATTCTCAGTTGTAGACATTTCTCCTGAATCTCAGTATGGACCTAGGGGAAGAAAATAAAGGGAATGTAATGTTAAAGCAATGCGCAATAATTACATCTCAAGGGTGATAGGGTGACGTGCATATAATAAAACTTTCTGCAAAGTTAACTCTGCCAGCTGAACAGGAAGTATCACACAATGTTGGTTAGACAAGTCTCAGAAAGTTACTTGGTCAGGTCTAAATGACTCATCTACCTTAGCGATATTAGCATTGTCCATGCTAAGGTGCTTCTTTTTTATGTTGCTCTTGTCTCTATCCCTGATATTAAAATACCGCCAAACTTTTGATACTGGTATATAATGTTCTCCACTCAAACATATCCAGGTATCATTGGTCAAAAAAGGCGAATTAAAAAATTATGTTGGGCTTTTAAATTGAGCGCCAGTTTGAATTCCCCTCCCTTGTGGGTTTATAAACCGTGGTATTATCACTAGCTTGTTTATAATAATAGCTACATTTAATGTAGAGATTTAGGGGATTAATGGTGTACTGAAAAAATAAATATACATATATATATATATTTTTGACCATCTCTTTCTGACCCTGATGTAACACCCATGCCTTATTTTTATAAGATATGATAGCCAAGAGACTGTACTTATTAAAACTAAATTTGATTTTATGTAAAACCCAATAGGGTAGCGTTGGCATTGTAACCCCCAGTTTAACAATTAAAATATTTTCTATATCCATTGCTAGATCAACCTGTCAACAGAGAGATTGAATCGAGGTGGAGCTGAGGGTCAGCTAACGTTTGGCCCATGCTTTTTAGACATTGCATAACTATATTTCTGCAGGGGAAACATGCAGACACATGCTAAGAAAGTCAATATTGGTAGGAAAAAAAACTGTATGCAGATTTTCCCTAAAATCAGGTTTTTCAGGAAGTGAATTTCTGGAGAGCACGATGTGTGTGTGTTACATGTGTCGGATAAGAAGCCTGTGTCTGGGGGGGCGACATACACAGGTATTGTTATGTTGCAAAGTTCAAAGTCGAAATTACTGCAATAACTGTGATATAACACAGCTAGAGTAGTGCCAGGTTAGGACTGTAACAGTGAACAGATACCATTTTATTTTGGATTGGAATGCTTCCTGTTACAAATAGGCCAAATCATTCCTTAAGAGATACAGTACTTTCTGTTATTAAAATAACATTAGCCAGGATTTGCAGCTAGCTACAAAGCTATTACTTTCTCTAAAACTACTTTTTTAAAGCTTGGGTAAGAATGCAGAGTCGTTGATATTTTACTCGGTTCTAAAAAAGTTATCACTAAATGATGGAAAATTCCTATACCGTATTACAAAAATATTATGCAAACATTCTATTATGTTCGTTATCCCTTGTGATGGGAGTGTTGCTCATTACATAGGCTGGTCTAAAGACAACAGTTTCTCTCAATGTTTCCTACATGCTTCCCTGTTGGCACATCCCTTTGCGTTGAACGTGTGACCTAAATTAGCATTAGCTACTAGGTTAAAGTTCAACTGAAAACGCACTCGTTCTGCAAACGTGGAATCTGTGAAAAGCTGCAGTTTTCACTGGTTTACTGACAGCGTTTTAGTGTTTCGTAAGCATGACTACTGAAAGTCATTCAGGGTCTGTTTTGTAACAGTAAAGCTACGTAGCTAGCTTCGGGCTTAAGTTGACAGTGTACAGAGGGGGTTCACTACGTCATTCACGTGACACACAAGTAAGAAGACGTATAAATTAAGAGGGAATAAAAGTAATTTCGGCCGTTTACTTACTTGGTTGCGAGGTTGTCCAGAGATGCCACACCAAAACGGTGTATTTCCTACTTCTAAATTGACACCACGTCTTCTACGACGGACTGAATGGTGTATGGTCAGACTTGAAGAGCCGCATAATCCGTGTTTGTGATTGGCTAAAACTGGCATCTTGGCTTCCTCTGGACCAATCAGAGCTCTAAGTTCCTCGAGAGACCCAAGCAAGTGCAGGAAGTAGGCGTATCTCTGTCAACTGTGGTCGCCTCTCTCATCTTTTTATGACAGCTAATAAAGGTTACTTTATAGGAAAAATTGAAAGAACAAATCACGAAAGTAATGCGTTTTGGGAAAACTTTTCATTTTCCAAAGATTTCTACAAGCTATCAAAGTTATTTAATGCAAGTTATTTTAAAAACCAGATTTGCAAATTCCCAATTATAAATTAATTTTGTCTTTTGCTTTCTTCCGTTCAGAATACAAACTGCAATACCAATATTATAGGCCAATGCTTCAACTCCTGGCCTCATAAGATCTTTGATTTTTACCCATTACCTCAAATTACGCACTAGATGGTGCTGCTGCAGCAGAATACTGTGTCAAAGCCAGTGACGTGATGGGAGTAAAACAGTCTGTCTCGAGTTGTCTTAGGAAAGGATCATGTTGTCAGCTTACACTTCTGTAACATCATAAAATGTGAATATGTAAGGAACATTTAATCTGTTGTCTGGGTTGTATTTAATTTTCGTGTCCGAATCGGCCACATATTTTACACGCATTTTGCAAATAAAATCCATATTGAATTAATTAAGGTAAAGGTCAGAGCCTCTTCAGGCAGTGAAGGTAATTGTGATTGGCAGAGACAGAATGGCGGTGGCTGAGAGAGCTTTTTCCAATGAGACAGTCAGACTCCACACTATGCACACACACACTGACGTCATAGAAGGCTGGGATCTGAAGGCAGGTTTTCATTGGCTGCATGGGGAAGCATTTGACTTTCACTAGTCTGATGATGTCATGGTAAAAAGCCAACTTCCCTTGTCCAAATTAATTAAATCAATACTTGTGAACTCTGTGAAAAAACAAAACTCTGAGGTGACCACGTAGCTACATTATTATGAAGACAGAAACATACTTCAATTCACCAGCAGCATGTAATGTCGTTGCATGTCTTGACTCTACACAGTGGGACCAGGGGTCTCAAACCCCTGGCTTGAGTGACCTTTCAGGCCCTCAAATCCACCACAACCAAAAAAGAATAATTGAATTTGGTTCCTGAAGATTTTTTTTTAATATATATTTTTTAATTGTTGTTGTTGTTTTCTAACATATATATTATATATTTATATATTTTTAATTTATTGCGCATGTCTTGTCCCTTTTTCAGAACAAGACATCTTACAGTAAACAATGTCATTAACATAGGTGTAGATGATGGTGTATGTATATTTATATACATATATGAATATATTTATTAACTGACAGAGTTGTTATAATGCAATATTCTCATAATAGGGGCAAACAATGGTTACATCAGCACAGCAGTCGTCCTACAGCTGTAGGACTAAACAAAAGGGGCGAGAAAGAAGCTGTCATGTCTTAGGTGGGGGGAGGAGACTGAAAAAGGTCCTTGCTGAATATAAAGTGAGGGAACAAGGATGAGAGTCGGGCGGTGGTAGCAGCTGGAGCAGAGTGTGTTGCAGATAAGGACAAAAAAAAGATGAAAGTTTTGGAAACGAAAGGTAACCTTCTCAACAGGTGTTTCACAAGCTTTACTGGGCATTACCATACAATAGTTTTTTTTTTTTACAGATACAGGCTGTTCAAATCAAAATTTGTGAAGTGCTTTCTTGTTGGTTAAATATTTCCATTAACTGGAGCAAACAAACAATTATGCTAAGTGAAAGTGTGTTCAAGGGCCGTGTGTCCTGTCTACGGTAATAAAACACTTCTTTATGGCTACATACTCCTGAAAATCTCTCATTTAACTTTGACTTCACTCCAGGGTCACACAAAGGTCCAGACGATGTCACCGCCCTTAGCCGGTTTAACCAATCACTGACACCCGGCCTCCCTCCATTTCTGGTCACAGCACCCACCCCCCGTCCAGCAAACCCTGCACCTTCGCCCTTTTGATACCCAACCCCCATGTCGACGGCTGTTAACCGTCTCCCACAACCATATATATCGGGGGTCTCTGAGCTAGGGGCCACTGCTGCCACTGTAATTTTATTGGAGGGCCACATTGGGAAGGTAACCTTCTCAACAGGTGTTTTTTAACCTTCTCAACAGGTGTTTTCACAAGCTTTACAATAGTTTTTTTTTACAGAAAATATACAGGCTGTTCAAATCAAAATTTGTGAAGTGCTTTCTTGTTGGTTAAATATTTCCATTAACTGGAGCAAACAAACAATTATGCTAAGTGAAAGTGTGTTCAAGGGCCGTGTGTCCTGTCTACGGTAATAAAACACTTCTTTATGGCTACATACTCCTGAAAATCTCTCATTTAACTTTGACTTCACTCCAGGGTCACACAAAGGTCCAGACGATGTCACCGCCCTTAGCCGGTTTAACCAATCACTGACACCCGGCCTCCCTCCATTTCTGGTCACAGCACCCACCCCCCGTCCAGCAAACCCTGCACCTTCGCCCTTTTGATACCCAACCCCCATGTCGACGGCTGTTAACCGTCTCCCACAACCATATATATCGGGGGTCTCTGAGCTAGGGGCCACTGCTGCCACTGTAATTTTATTGGAGGGCCACATTGGTGTCCAATAATAATAAAAGAAAAATCTAGTTTATTAAAGTTTATTTAAAAAATAATGTAAGATATTACAGAAGATTTTTACAGAAAAATAGTGTGATATTTAAATTTTCATTGATATCTAGTTGTTGGCTAGTTGCGCGGTGTTTAGGCTAGAAGTGGTCCCCGGGTCAGGAGTTTGGTACCCCCTGTATGTATTTGGTTCAGAGACAGATGCAATGATGTTACACCTCAAAATCACTGATGCTTCAACACTGGGAGAACAAGTCACTTTAGTACAAGCCAAGGACATTGTGTTGTCACTGTGTGGCAACTGATACACGCACAACAGGCGGCTGTTGATTGTCACAGCAGGCGTGCAAAATCAGGACATTTTTTTATTTTTTTATATAAAGGGTGAAGACAGTCAGTTCAACAAGGCTGAAACTATTGCTGTAATCTGATACAGTGTAGCTAAATGCATTTACGCCCTAGAGTTTCTCTCCAGTCCACAGCACTGGACTTGACATCTGCAGTGAATTATAACAGTCCAGTTAAATCACCTCACATCACTATTTGTCTTCAGTACATTGTATTGGTCACAGCACAGCATTCCTGTCATGCCAATGCTGTGTTACACAGCACTGGATTGTAATTCACGTGAGATGTTACAGTTATGGAACACACATGGATACTTCAGTCGACCAAGGTATAACAAAAAACACAGGGACTAGGTGAAACTCAGAAAAAAGAACCCCACATCTGAGACTTTGAAATTAATTAATTTCATTAATTACTCTCTTCACTAAATACGATAAGACAGTCAAACAAGACATGTAAAAATATGGGAAATATTCAGTATAGAAATCAAGTGTCAATACAAATGACTCTCTTCACTAAATACAGATGCAGAGGCATTCAAACAAGAAATGTAAAAATATGGGAAATATTCAGTATAGATAGATAGATAGATTGAACTTTATTAGTCCCTCGGGAGTTCCATTCAGGAAGTTAAAGGAACACAGTTGGGTCCTTGCCTTATATCGGAGTTCTGTTCCTACAGTTCAACGTAAATTGATTTTAATGAGTTGGAACTCACATACTGTACGTAAGTACCCATGTCACTTACTGACGCTAACACAGTGGTAACATCCTAATGTGATAGGCCAAAAGGTAACAAAAAGACCAACACAAATGAAATATACGAATGTAGCACAATCCAATGTGTGGTGTACAACGACGGTGAATGTAAACAAAGCCCTCTGCTGCCTATAGGGCTGCATGACGACGTCTGCTCGCCAACTAGTTTCCACGCCAACAAGTTGGCGAGTTTTAACATTTACAGCGGAATGATACAGCAAGACTCTCTTCACCAATTTATGGGAAACGATAATGTAGCCACAAAACGCTGTAAGTCGAAGACGTTGCAAACTGTCCCATGTATATGTTATCATATAGGGGTTCATATCAGGCTGTCTTTCCTTCTTTTTTTATTAGCATTCATGCTAACGCTGTACTGGCACATTCGTAAATAATATTTGCGCCTTCGACAAATCTTATTTTAATCCTCAAACAACGTTGGCGGTTAAGATTAATGTGTTTGTTTTAACTTCTTGCTCTTCCATTTGCTCACATTTCTTTATGTAAGCATAGTCATATCTACTGCTTCTTCTCTTAAACCCAATTTAAAAAATGATTATACATTTATAATTATAAATTATTAAACATTTATTACTACATTTATTTATAGACGGTTTAGCTTATATTTAGTTATAATTATAATATATTATAATTATAATAATTAATAATATTATAATATAATTTTTTAACGTTAATGTGACTTATGTATGTCCTACTGACAGGTACGTAGACGCAGAGACGTCATGAAGGGCAAACACTTGCTGTGAGAGAGAGAGCGAGAGAGAGAGAGACTGAGCGAGAGAGAGAGACTCGTGTAGCTGTCTGGACTGCACGGCCAGACTCCACGCAAACAAACACTGTCCAGAGCGGGGGACACTGGCTTCTCTATGTAGCCGGACAGAGAGTCACTGTGCTCGGCCAGGAAACCACAGCCGTCCCCGGTCCTCTCTGGAGCAGCGGCAGAAGCAGTGGGGCTTGAAGGCAAAAGGGACAAACGCCGAGTTAAGTGACACCGGAGCAGTTGTTTGGGAGTGAGTGACAGGACCATCATGGCTTCTTCTCCGGTCCCGCCAGCATCTGTGGAAGGAGGGACACCGTCACCCACGGGGAACGAGGACCTCTACACAACCAAACAGGTACACGCGTGCATTTGTTTTCCCCTGCGTGCACTCCGAACTCCATAGGGAAACACTTCAAGTGCAAAGCTAATCTTGGGTGAACGAAAACACCTGCGTGCGCAATGACAACGTTATATTACGTCCGACTAAGAAACCGCTGCTCTTCAAT